AAGGGTATGCTGTGGCCAATGTCAGCAAGCCTCTTTTCAAGCGTGAAGTGAGAATATTACTTGATCAAGAAGACCCAGTGCCAATGAGCGTATTTTGATAACACGCCGCCGAGAATCGGGCCTAGAATGAACGACAATACCAGAGTAAACCCAACAAGCATGGAAACAAGATCGTTTCGACCTGGTGGCGCAATCTCCGCCAGAACAATCTGGCAAAGCGAGTAGAGTCCAGATCCACCGACACCCTGAAGCGCCCGAAACACTATCCTATTCATCTCCTTAATTCTTGGGACATATGTGACTCAGACGAAAGTAACTCACAACTCCGCCATAGTAGTTGAAAAGGCACAACCTATTGAGAACCCAGTGAATATGACCCAAGCTGTAACAACCATCGACCGGCGACCAAAATGGTCTGCAAGTTTCGCAAATCCGACCGAGAAGCCTTGAAAATAAAATTAGTCACATTTCATGTGCCGGGGCATTGCAAGTTCAAGGGAGAAATATACCAATGTACGAGAGGAGGTAGGCGAGGACGACCCAATACACGTTCCTGAAGTCATGAAGATCTTCCGAAATCGTGATCAATGCCGTCGAGACAATCGTAGTATCCATCACGGAGAACAGGAGACCGATAAGCGACCTAGCAGTATTAGTTGCCGCGACTAGATGGCGAGAGTCAGGATGAAGCTCACAGCGCCATCATGACGGCGATGCGCCTCCGGTGTGTCGCCGCCGCCGCATGACCAGCCGCTTCAACGTCACTTCTCAAGGCAGCGTTCATACTATCATGACGATCGTCGGCGATGTTTGCCAAGAAGAAGTTAGGATAAGAGAGATCTGGCTTCGAAAGATCTTTCTGGCTTCGAGACTCGTAGTGGTGAAGATCGCAGAAAGACGTAGTGGCGTGTTGGGAATAGTGAGGCCCGGCAAATCCCTGGTCGAAGTTGGAGAAGGTCGCCATTTTGAGGATTCCAGGTTGTTCCTGGAACGAGCAAACGGATCGACTGGTTCTACTCTGTTACGGATAATGTCGTGTGGGTGTGGAGACGCCGTCACTGATCCGTCCATATACTGCAGGAACGATCGTTGAAGTTTACCTTGCCGTGGGCGAGCCTCGCAGCCACAGCTTCGAAATGCCTGACAAGTTTCATACAAGAAGTAAAAGTGTCGGAGGAGTTCTCGACTGGTACTGTTTTGTTTTGTTTTGTTTTGTTTTGTTTCAACGAAATTCGGTGCCAAGTGCCTTATAGATTCCCTTAGTCACCAGATCTTGGGCTGTTTGCCGTGTTCTATGTCGAGGTTACGGGACGGCCACAACGTCTGATGTGGCATTTGGTCCCCTTTATAAAGGCTGTCACAAGAAGAATGCTGAGCGATCTCGAGAGTTGATCTACCTTGAAGGCCTTGCAGATATGAACTAGGTCTTAAAGCCGCACACCGTTCATTTTGGCTGCAGTGTTTATGCTCTCTGCATACTCCCACCTGCAGATTCGAGCTCTTGATAACGACCTGGTAGACGGCCACACTAGCTAGGTGACAAGTCAGGACCGCCTTCCTTATTCAATGCTAACTGACCAAAGCGGTGAAATCTTTTCTCACAGTAACACATAAGGGACACGACTGATGACGGGTGTCGTGCAAGGTATGACATGATTGCAGACCTAGAAAAGTGCACACATACCGTCACAAGCCTACATGAGCGATAGCACTTCAAGACAATTGATGAATATACGAGAAGCGCAAGTTTTCTCTCAATATAATGACGCGCCACGACCTAGAAAAAGAAGTACGGATGATCGAGGATGCTAATACCCAACTTCCATCTTACTTCGAGGCTATGTGAGGGCTATGGTGGTCGATGTGCACCGGAACGGAAACAACACAGGAACTAATAACGGCCCGCCTTGGCTTACGCAAAAATTGAGTCAAGAAGAAACCTAGACTACGCTTTGGTAGAGTCGTGAGTCCAGTCCAGGCCTACAAAAATCAGGATGGGTTGATCTCTTTAAATTTTTGGTCGTACGGTCAAGTCCAGCCAGTAGGCGGGGTGGCTGAACGGAAACAGCGATGTATGAGTAATGCAACAAGCCGTCGGTCTAACGTAGTACTGACCTCAGCTGGCAGCTTCAGGAGATCACGTCTTTTGGTTGAGTAGAGTTCGAAGATTCATGGGAGTGATCACATGGCTCAGTTCAGGATACCTAGAGATTATGAGGACCGGGTGCATTTGCCAGGTCTCCTATCATGGGTAACAAGAACAGACGCAGGCGATGCCCTTTCCCTCTTCCAGCTTTGAAATAATAACCTAAGGTATGCTCCTGAAGGAAAGGTCATTAGGATTGAGTCAATTCATTGGCTACTGGGAGGCACCGGCCCAGAACTTAATCAGAGACCCATTTGGCCTGCGAGGAGACAACTGCCGGGTTATCTCTCCACGAAGTCAAGTTTGTATCTCGATCAGGAAACCCTGGTAAGACAGAGACATAATCAAAACTGATTAGCATGATTCAGTTGAGCAACGCACGTCTTCATCTTGGCAGAAAAATTCATTCCTGAGGCCGACATCGCAGGGCATTGTCACTCGTCCTGTCATCGCAGCACCTACTGCAGCTCTGCGGTCATACCTAGCTCGAAGACCGAGTATTTGCATGCTGTGGTCAGAAAGACAGCATCATGGATTCTTCAGCAGGGGCAAGCTCTGCTGTGCAACTGTGGGTTCAAAACGTTCTGGCGTATGAGATGCGCCTTCCACCATGTTCGAGAATAGCGACTCAGACAACAGACTGCCTTGGCTAGCTAAATGATGTTGTGTTGGTGTCGCATAAAGCACATTGACACTCTCGAGACATTTGCTATCGACTCGCGAATCCAGAGAGTTGCCAATGCAAACACAGTAGCCGCTGCACAGCAGGATCGACCACTGATAGAGACACAAGGCGGACTGACAACGAAGAGCAGAAAAATACCCTCAGCCAGCCGAGTTGTTTTCACGACACTCAAGTCAGGTTGTAGTGTCACACTTATGTCATGCTCTTCCTATCTATCCGTTAACTGCAGCCAAGGAGTACACGTGAAGGATGCCTGCAATCCCGAGGCAAGTTCATATCACGGCTGCTTCGAGAACAAGAATCGGTCCCGATTCACCGGTCTGGATCAATGGACGTATTGCGCTTGCAGTTGCCGTTATACGGGATATGTGAGCTAAGTCAGGTATCCAATCCTTCGATATGCAAATTGACAAATAGTTCCTGAGGTAGTCGGTAGGATAGTTCTTACACACATCCTTCTGAAAATCTTGGCCCTTCTCGCGACGGGTAAGATTTTGCGGACCGGAACGTCTCGCGCATGGCACTACCCTGTCACTCCCACAACGACTATCCACACATCAAGAAGCTACCTCTCGGCCATAAGTGCATCAATTGACAGTGGCATGTGGTCAATCCTCGTCAAGGTAAACAAAGTCCAACCTGTCTAGGTATTCGATGCGAGCCACTGATTTGCCGCATACGCCCTAAGTCCAAGCAACTAAAGAGGGCAAAGCTATCATAACAAAGCCGAAAGATGAATCAGTGGCCCCTGAAAGCCTAAGAAATGGATCACCATCTTCGCTCTAGAAGCGCTACAAGCCTGTGTCGTTATGACACAGAACTGGTATTGATTCAATTTATTTCTAGGATGTCTCAAGAACGTTACCACCAATCAACCTGTGACGAAAGGCCGGGGCAATGTATTTCTCAGAAGACTGGAAGCTGCCGAGCTTGCGGCAAGCCTAGGAACGAACCGTTTGGCATCGATCTATTTCTGGGGTTGTGGTTGTGGCAAGCCTAATCTTCCTGCATGTCGCCTCCTGCAAGATCCAGTACATCGGCCGGTGTCCGCCGCCGTTTGCTCTCCGCACTGACGGCCAACTAGACAACGTTTTGGCTGACAAACCGCGTGTTCGGCTGGGTTGACGTGCAGTAACTTACGAATTGCCTTTCATGGCCAGACCTACGCTTCGTTGAGTGAACGCACGTAATGTGTAGTTTGCGTATGCATCGATCAAATCTCTATGCATCTCGCAACTCCAACCTCGAAGCTACCTAGCTACATCGGCATAGACCCCAGACTCAGACCCAGTAAGCTGGTCCAGCGGGACGGACAGCTAAGCGAATGCAGGCTCATGGCGTGCTGCTTATGGAACAGCTGCAACATGAATTGGCTGCAGCTCATGGCTTGGATGGATGTTGGCCGGCTGCAGTATGCCTCGCCAGCGTTTAGATCTCCGGCATATCGCCTTTGCTAGAGAGTTGTTTGTCGACTCCCTCTTTTAGCGGACATCTATCTTTGGGCATCATCATGTCGTCTCTCAAGCGCTTTACATGGTTCTTGTTAGTCTGTTCCATAAGAGGGTCTTGTTCCTTTGAGCCTACCCTAGCTTGATGCCAAGGGGCTACAAGCTGTCCATTGGTGACTGCCCCTTTCAGCCCAACATGGAATGCTCTTGCCTCTTGACCTTCCACGAAGTGCCTTGGACTCCACATGCAATGCACTTCCTTTGTGGAGTTTCAGCTTAGTGCAATAGCCTTGTCACGCCTCGTGGGAGCTGACAACTGACTTAAACAGGCTGTGTGCTGGTTCCGCTGTGGTTGGCAGGGCGTGGCGGCCCCCTAGATCTGCAACTATCGTCAACCACCTCCTGCATGGACTTCAACGACCGGGCTGCATACAAACAAGCACATCTTTTAGTCGAATCTCCCTGTCAGCCCATCTTCTTTTGCAAAAATTTTCATTTCCTCTTTGCCCTAATTCTCAATGAAATTGTTTTCACACCAACTTCCCCAAAACCCATCCCACCCTTGAAGCCACAGGCACCGCGTTTTCCTCCGTAATCCGCAGCACAACAAGCTGCGACTACAGGTTCTCCATCCTTGCTCATCATCGAGTGAGCCTATTTTTCTGCTGGGCTTTCTCACGTTAGCAACACAAGTGGATCTGCTTCTCTGCCAGACGGGAGGATGGAGGAATCCTCCAGGTCCGGTGATATCGCCATCATCGGCCTGGCGTGTCGATTTCCGGGAAACGGCACAAATCCAGAAGCCCTCTGGGCGATGCTCAAGAAAGGCGAAGACGCGTGGTCCGTGTTTCCTCACGATCGTTTGAATATCGAGGGTTTCCATCATCCAAGTGGTAATCGTCAAGGCTCGGTGTGTAGCAGCCCTTCGCGCGTCAAGACCTCACTAACACTCAACCTCAGCTCCCGTTTAAGGGCGCGCATTTCCTCAAGGGCAATGTCGCAGGATTCGACGCTGCAGTGAGTAAATACCAGCAACAAATCTTGAGTGGAGTGGCTGACATTCTCAGTTCTTCAACATCTCGGCCGCAGAAGCCAAGGCACTCGATCCGCAGCAGCGTGTGCTGCTCGAGACCACATATGAGGCAATAGAGAGTGGTAAGATGAGAGCTTCTGCAACCACGTCTATCTCACTAAATTTTATTCATCAGCTGGAATTCCAATCGAATCCCTTGATGGTAGCGACACCTCCGTTAATATTGGCTCATTCGTGAAAGGTCAGTCTGTTGGCTATTGAGCCAAATTCATTGTGCTGATGCCTCTTAAGACTACGAGCAAATTTGTATGCGGGACGATTCAAATTCTCCGCAATACGCTGCCACAGGAACTGGCGCGGCCATTCTGGCCAACCGAATTTCTCACTTCTTCAACCTTACTGGGCCCAGCCAGACTATTGACACGGGTTGCAGTGGAAGCTTGGTTGCTGTTCACAATGGATGCCAAGATCTTCGATCGGGAAGATCGTCATTGGTATGTGACTTATTTCAGCTACCCATGTTGTTCAAAATCATTGAAAATGACTGACTGCGTAAAAGGCAATCGCCGGAGGCGTTGGAATGATTCTCACGCCAGCCACCATGATGCCGATGACCCAGCTACAGTTCTTGAGTCCCAACGGACGTTGCTTCACCTTCAGTGAGAAGGCTGATGGCTATGGTCGTGGAGAGGGTGTGGGAGTTGTTATTCTGAAGAGGCTCGAAGATGCTGTCCGAGACAATGACACTGTCCGTGCGGTGATTCGTGGCTCCCGGACGAACCAAGACGGACGAACGCCCGGTAAATTCAACAACATCTGCCATTCCTCCCCTTGAGAATTTGCTAATTGATCCTTTCTAGGAATTACTATGCCCAGCACTCAAGCGCAGGTGTCCAATATCAAGAGTCTTTACTCTGATTTCGGCCTTGATACCGATAAGACAGCCTACGTTGAATGCCATGGCACCGGCACGCAAGCCGGTGACCCTAAGGAAGTATCTGCAATTCACCAATCATTCTGTTTAGATCACAGGCGAGAACACCCGATTATTGTGGGCTCCATCAAGCCTAACATCGGCCATCTGGAGGGTGCAGCAGGCGTGGCTGGCTTGATCAAGGCTGTTTTCATAGTTGAACGCGGCCAGATCCCCAAGAATTTGCATTTCGAAGCCCCTGGAAACCCTCTGATCAAGTTCAAGGAGTGGAACGTTAAGGTGAGTGAAATTCGAACGTTGTGGGACACAATTCTGACGATCGATTTAGGTGCCAACTGGGCTAATGCCTTGGCCGTCCAAAGGTGTAAGACGTGTCAGTGTCAACTGTTTCGGCTTTGGTGGCACCAATGCTCATGTAGTCCTTGACGATGCTGCCAATTATTTCAGTAAACGACAAATTCGTGGACGGCATCAGTGCACCATCTCTCCAGGCGACGATTTACTCCAATCTATGGTGCCTCTGAAGAACTTTCGACCGACCCAGATCTTTTTGTTGTCTTCCCATGAGAAGAGTGGAATTGGCAGAATTCTCGATTCACATGCTCCTTTTATCCAGGATCGCCATCATGATGTTGAATTGATGCCGAATTATGCCTACACGCTCAGCAGGAGATCTTCACTGGAATACAAGACCTTCATCATCGCCTCGTCCCGGTCAGATTTGCTGAAGAAGATGCAGCATCACAGCACTCTGCAAGTGACCCGCTCGGGCGCGCCTAAAGTTGCCCTCGTCTTTTGTGGACAAGGCGCACAATGGTCTGCCATGGGCCGAGAGCTAATGGCGTACGAGACATTCTCATACAGTGTCATTGGTGCCTCAAAGTATCTTAAGAAGATATTGCAGAGCGATTTCATCCTGCATGACGAGTTGATGAAAGACGAGAAAGTGTCCCGCATCCACGATCCAGACATAGCCCAGCCAGCAACTACCGCAATTCAGATCGCGCTTGTGGACTTGCTCAGGAGCTCAGGCCTCATTCCAACAGCCACTGTTGGCCATTCATCAGGCGAGATTGCCGCAGCCTATGCTGCCGGCTACCTGAATCATGAAGATGCTTGGAAGATTGCGTTCAAGCGCGGACAGCTCGCCTCATCCCTGAAGCATCATCACCCGAAAATGAAGGGTACTATGTTGGCTGTTGGTCTCTCCGGGGAGGACGTCCAACCCTATGTTGACAACGTAAAAGCCGGTACTGTTGTCGTTGCATGCCATAACAGTCCAGCTTCAGCCACGCTCTCTGGAGAAGAGGAGCAGATTCTCGAACTTCACACGAAGCTCGTTGCCGATAACATCTTCGCTCGCCTTCTTAAAGTGAAGGTCGCGTATCATTCACATCATATGAGAATCTTGGAAGAGCACTACAGAGAGTCCATCTCTGATATTGTTCCGAACCGGAGTGAGGAAGCCCCGCAGATGTTCTCATCTGTAACCGGGAAAGTTATCTCAAGCGAAGATTTGGGCCCGGAGTATTGGGCTCTGAATCTTGTCTCCCCAGTGCTCTTCAAGGATGCTTTTACTCACTTGTATACCACCTGTCGACCCGATATCATCTTGGAGATTGGCCCGTCCGCTGTTCTGCAACGACCAATGAGGGAGAATATGGAGGCGATCGCGCCGAAGAAGGCTTCTACTCCTTGTTTCTCGATGCTTAATCGAAATCAAGATGCCTCTATTACGGCGCTTGAAGTCTTTGGGAAGCTGTGGGCACAAGGCTGTTCTGTCGACTTGTCTTGGAGCTTCAAGAGGTACGTTGCCTACTTTGAGAGTTGAAACCCGAAATCTAACACCATATAGCCGTGAAGATATCCCGCCACGCCTTCTCATCGACTTGCCGCCATATCCGTGGAATCATTCCAAGACTTACTGGCACGAATCACACATGGGAAAAGCCATGCGATTTCGAGGACATGGCCGTGAAGATTTAATCGGTGCTCCAGCTTCGGAGTCCACACCCCAGGAGCCGCGCTGGCGAGGATTTTTCCGTATGTCAGAGAATCCTTGGATGATTGACCACCAAGTACAGAAAACGGTCATTTATCCAGCTGCAGGTCTGGTGACCATGGCTATAGAAGCGGCCCGTCAGTCAGTCGACTCGTCCCTAAGCGTTATTGGATTTGAGATCCTGGACCTCGTCATCCATAAGCCCATCGTCATCCCATCAACAGAGCATGGGCTGGAACATGCGATCAACGCCAAGATGATGAAGACTATGACCGCTGGAAATCAGGTGTCCTCAACTGAGTATGCATTCACCATCTATACCAAAGCCCTTGATGGTCCTTGGCAGAAGAATGCCGCTGGATTCTACAAGATCTTGTATGGTCGAGAAGAAGATGATGTTGTGTCTCTTCTCGACGCGCCCTACTGGTATAGACTAACGTACCAGGAAATCGTAAGCCGAGTCAAGAAGGAGATTATTCCTCGCCAACTCTACGAGCGTCTCGATACGATTGGCATGAACTATGGTCCTCTTTTCCGGAACATCATTGCTCTTCGCAAGAATCAGAATGCTTGTACGAGTGTTGTTCGCATCCCGGACACCAAAGCGAAGATGCCAGCTAAGTTTGAGTACGACCACTTGATTCATCCAGCATTCCTTGACTCGGTTTTTCAGACTGTCTTTGCTATTGGAGATGAATCAATGGTACCGTCATATATGAAGCGCATCTTTGTCTCGGCTGCAATGCCTCGAGGTGCAGGCGAGGAGCTTGCTGGATATGCTACTGCTGAGCGGGTAGGTCTCCGTGAGGCTCGTGCTGATATTACGATGTCCGACAGCAGATGGAGAGCTCCGCTCATTATTGCTGAGGGAGTAAAGTTCACCAGCATCACGACGTCAGGCTCCTCGGGGTTTCTGCCTTTCCATCGGAACCTGTGCAGCCAGATTGTCTGGGAACCATATGTCGCAACTGAGATCCCAGAAGAAAAGGTCTGCCAGTCTCTTTGCAAGAAGGCTTATTCGGTGCTTCTCATCCTACCAGATGGGTTTGACGACTTTTTCAACGAGCAATGTCGCGATTTGTGTTGTCTTATTCATCGCCTCCTTGAGCGAGCCGGCTTCACGGTAACCACGACATTGTTTTCAAACCTGTTCGAGAGGGATTTGAACACGCTCTGTATATCTCTTGTTGACTTAGACCTGCGCAACCCAGTCTTCTTCGGCCTCAATTTGACAAAGTTTGAAAAACTTCAAAAACTCCTTACTTCGACAACAGGACTCCTCTGGATTACGATCGGGGGCCAGATGGATGTAGACAACCCGCTGTCTGCACCGTTTCATGCCCTTGCAAGAACCATTCGCTCAGAGGATTCATCCAAGGCAATCTTTACTCTGGATCTCCAGCAGTATTGGACCATCATCAAGGGTGTCACCGAAGACCTGATTGTTAACATTCTCCACCAGATGAGTGGTTGTTTCCTTGCGTCTGATAGCCCAGAAGTGGATTTTGCTGAGCGAGGCGGACGACTTTACGTACCAAGACTGGCAATTTTATCGGATCTCAGCGATGTTATCGAAGAAGGACCTTCGAAGTTCAAGCGATTGCAGACATGTCCAATTTCAGCAGCCAGGCGAGCCCTGAATGTGGAAATCAGCAATCCTGGTGACATTGACAGCATTCGTTTCCAGGAAGATGATGAAGTCTCGCGTGATCTCAATCCTGATGAAATATGTGTGGAGATTATTTCTACCCGATTATTTCCTGATGATCTAGACACTGTCCTTGGGAAAGGTCATGCGACTTCCATTGGTGCGGATATCTTTGGTAAAGTCGTCAAAGTCGGCAACAATGTTGTTAATCACGGTCTGGTCCCCTGTGAAATTGGCCATCTTATCACGGCATTGGCACATGACACATTGAGAACCCGCACCATCATCAAGGCTGAGCATGTCATCGAGATCCTTCCTACGCATGAAGACAAAATGCCTAGATACAGCCCTTCGTGCTTGGTATCCGCTTATTACGGAATGGTCGTCATAGGCCAGCTAGCTGATGATGATATTGTGTTCATCCATGCCGCCGCAAGCGCTCTGGGCCAGACTGCGATGAGCCTTGCTCGGAGCTGGAAGGCTCGTGTGATTGCGGGTGTCACAACAGATAAGCAGCGGGATTACTTGATACGCTGTGGCGGTATTGGTGAGGATGATATCGTTAATACATCCAGAGATCGTGTCAAGTCAAGTGTCCGTCGGCTCACAGGTGGTCGAGGAGTCCACATAGTGTTCGGATCGACACCAGAGACTCAGAATTTGGACCATCAATGTGTCAATGACTGTAGGTTATGGGTATCAGCCTACAACTAATCAATGCTAATTGAGTCTTCAGGCGGATACATCATCCAGACGTCGACCAGGGATGACAACGTTAGACCTCAGACGAGTGGAGGGTTTCAAAGCACAGCATCCATTGTCAACATTGATCTTCGAAAGCTTATCCAGCAACGTCCTAAACTAATACAAAGGCTAATACACGAAGTCAAGATGGTGCTTAAAGAAAAGCTCGATACATCGTCAATCTCAATCAGCCAGTCCTGCGATGTCTCTAATCTGACCAAGACCTTCCACAAGATGCAAGAAGATCCATATATGGGTGCTTTCACCATCTCAATCTCCCCAGCTTCGATCGTCCAGACGGCTTTCAATCCCATGACAGAGATTCATCTGGATCCTGGGGCATCCTATGTCATCGTTGGGGGGTTTGGCGGCCTAGGACGCACTGTCGCCAAGCTTCTTGTCTCAATGGGTGCGCGCCACCTCGCCTTCTTCTCTCGATCCGGTGGAACAGATGAATCGAGTCGTAGTTTCTTGTCAAAACTGCACCGCCAGGGTATCCGTGCCAAGGCATACGCAGTCGACATAAGCGATAGATCACAGCTTGTCTCTACCATTGAGCGCATGAAAGAGGAGGAAATGCCAAGGATCAAGGGGGTTATTCAGGCTGCTGCTGTCCTCAGGGTATGCTAATTATCACACTCTGTACGGCTCTCACGAACTAATGAATGCATCATAGGACTCTATCTTCGAAAATATGTCCTATGACGACTGGATGACAGCTACTTTGCCCAAGATTAAAGGTTCATGGAACCTCCATTTGGTGCTCCCCGACACAATGGATTTCATGATATTTCTCTCGAGCGCCGCCGGCGTTATTGGTAACCGTGGACAGGCGAACTACGCGGCTGGAAACAATTTCCAGGATGCGCTGGCACGTCACAGAAAGGCTCGTGGACTTCATACAGTATCTCTGGATCTGGGTCCCATTCTTGGCGCAGGCATGGTTGCGGAAGACGAGGCAACTTTGGACATTCTGAAATCCAGCGGCTTCTTCGGAATTCGGATAGAAGACTTCAGATTTCTAGTCGAACGTGCCATTGCTGGATCAGTGATGCGAGACCGTCCACTCCCTGCTCAAATTGTCACTGGTGTCGGTACAGGTGGTCTGATAATGCAGAACAGGCCTTCAGATCCGTACTGGACTCGGACGGCATTGTTCAAGCGATTGAACCAGGTCGACCTACCCCCTGAGGTACCAACAGAAGATGGCTCCAAGCAGTCTGTCGAGTCGATCAAGGTTGCATTGCGCGCCACAACCGGACTTGATGAAGCAAGCCGCATTGTATGCACAGCTCTAATCAACTTTCTTGCACCATCTCTCAACATGGAGCCATCAGAAATTGATGACTCCAAGTCTCTAAGCATCTACGGCGTAGATTCTCTGGTCGCAACTAATATCAGAAACTGGGTGTTCCGGAACGTGGCTGTGAAGCTGACCGACATGGAAGTCATGGGCGCCAGCTCCATCCTGGAGCTGGCCAAGACCATCGCGACCAAGGGTGGTTACATCGAGGAGGCGGAGGAGTGATTGGTGACGATTAATGACTGTTACGAGTATAATAGAGCGAACGACCGAACGATTAGAAGGCTGTGTCCTCAACCCCTTAATAAACAAACAGCTTAGACCACACCGCAGTAGATGGTATTATAGATGATCCTCGTGAAGCACCTCATCGCAACTGGTGAATGGTGCAATTAGCCAGGTTTCTCAATAGCGATGATAATTACTATCATCGCATTTCAAATACACTAGAGTGAAGTCCATTGTTGTTAAAATAGCCCATTGCTTCGCCATCCATCATTCCGTGAATATAACATTCTCCGAGGAAGGTATAGAACCATTTATCATCTTCTCGATTAGGCTGCGCGTTCTTCTTCCCTTCACCCGATCTCTTTTTTCCAACTCGATGATCGTCAAGGATCTCTTCGACAGTAGCCTTTCGTTTCTCGGACGCTTTCTTACGCTCCTGTAGGCGCCACTTGCTCTCCTTGATAGCATGGTGACGGTCCGCCTCGCCCATTTCACTGAGACGAATCCTCTTGCTCCGCCCATTGTCTCTGTTTCGAGGAACATCGCCATTCGGCTCGCTTCCTGCGGTCTGTCGGGTACCGTTGACTTGCTGATTAGGCACACTAGGGGGTTGTGCAGCTGGAGGCTGCGTTTGAACGCGCCGAAGCAGATCTTGCTCTCCCGGAGGCATCGTCGGTTGGGATTCCTTCTTTGACTGCATCCTTAACCAGACTTCGAGCTCATTTCTCATCTTGTCATCCAGCTCTGCTTCAAGTCTTTCCTCCAGATCACGCGTTTGGCGCGGAACTTCATCCTTCCATTCTAATATTTCTTTCTCCTTAGGATTTAGTTTCGGCATTGGTCTCCCACGCTGTCTTCTCTCTTTGTCTTCAATTACCTCTTTCATCCTCTCCGACTCTTCGCATCTTTCACGGTAGTGTTGCTTCCGCTCTTCTACCCTTTTTGATCGACGCTGTCCTGCTACCAAAGCCTTTTCCACTGCATAGAGCCTATCATAGCTTGCCTCCTCCTTGATTTGCTCTTCCGTCTTAGGTTCAGGGCATTGTCTCAAGACGACCGGGACGCTGCAGCCATATAAGATACAGATTTTATCGCCGACCTTGGCATTCTTGTTAGCAATACCAAGGTGGCCAGCCTTCGTCTTGATCAACGAGCGGTTCCATATCACTGCTTGTACTCTGCGGCAGAATTGGGCAATGATGGAGTTTCGCTCGTTGTGTATCAAGTCTCCAGTGTTGACCGCGCCACCACCAATACCGCCTTTAATGACAGACTCTTTACATGCTTTCGCATAGTATACTGGCGGATTTCGCCCATCTCGTCCACGATCGGCAACTATAGTGCGCCAGAACTCTGGCGGTGGCTCGTCCTTGTTCGCTTTGCGAGGTGTTTCCCAGTTTGCTAGCTGAAGCCACTCTTCAGGGATCGCGCCGTTCTGAGAGGCACTTTCGATATCAGATATCTCATCCAAAACGAAGCCCTTGATATACATGCTGAAATGTGGATTGCTCTCCATGTTCATTCGGTCTCTCCAGGACAAAGCGTCTAAGTCGACGCCCCTTGTTAGAGCAGCATTGTAACTACGTTGACCTAGCATCGGCATTCCTACTAGAGTGTCGGCATTTTTCCTTGACATGTTTGGGCCTGTCCTGCCAGAGGTCGGAAACATTGCAAATGGTGCACCCGTTAGCTGTGGCACCCATGACGGCAGTGGAGGCATTTCCTCTCTGACACCGGTCTGTATATTCTGAGTCGCTTTGGGCTCAGGGGCCCAAGGCCGGCAAATGATGTCGACAGCACGAGACGGTTCGGATGTTGTGATACAGAACTTGATGAAATCCTTGCAGACCTCTGTGTACGAGCGTTGGTAGTCGACCACATACCTTTTCCGTTCAGTCCAATGCTCAAGTGCCTTCTGTGTCTTGACATGAGGGATCTCCGGTCCCTCATCGGCTGCATATGGCGTTGTGTCCTTGGCAATTGCCAAGAGCGAATAGACGACATCCCGTGGCTCGGTCACATCGAATGTTGACAAGCTTGATACTAAGTATTCGAGACTGAGCAACGGCCGCCTTGATGATATGTCAACCTCCCTGTTGTTCAAGATGTCGCCCGTCTTTCTATCGCGGAACACCTTTCCAGTGGCCTGCACGAGGAGACTAGCCCCCAGCTCCGAGACGTACTCGAACCATCCAGGGACGTGATAGAACCGCGGGTCCTTTTGCATGACTTCAGACAACCGATGAGTCGCCGTTTCCACCTCCACGAAGAGCTCTACAGCGACAGCAAAGTCCTTCCAGGGAATTGTGTCTGGACCACAGTAGACAGTGGCCTGCTTCGCCAGAGCAATCTCCTGGACCACCCACCGCCGTGAAAACCATCGACGCTGCATCAAAGTCAGGAGACACTGCCACTTCTCGGCATTCTTATCGTTCGCACACAGTTCATCGAAGTTCTGCAGCTGCATGATCTCCTCTTTGATGAATTTGATGGCTAGCTTGCTGGAGTCGGTGGCCTTTCCAAGCCAGACGCACACACGCTCTGCGAAGCTGTAGATCTTGGCCATGTTTTCGACTTGGTGGTTTCGCTCTGATGTATTGTCTTGGTCGATGCATATCGCGTCAATCCACAGGTTGCGACTTTTATCTGGGTAGCGCAGGTACTTGAGTGCCCAGACGAGCTCGTCCGACGCGCGCTTGCGCTGGACTTGGTCCTCGGTCTGTAGCAGAATCTGGTGGTCTTGTTTCCCGTCTTGTGGCCAGCACCAAGAGAGGGCTTCATATTCTATCTTGCGAGGTGTGCTTTTGGTCGGGTCATTGGAGGGCATGTAGACGCCATCGTCGCCTATCTCTGCTTCGAAGAGCTGACAGTAGACGTTGGGGTTGGAGTGGTCTCCCGGTAATATCTTAAGGAGTCTAACGTTTTTCTTCAGGTTCCGAAGACTTTTATAGGAAAATACCTCGTAGTCTGTTTGTTTCTCGTTAAATGAGACGATTCGAGAGTCCTTGTCATCAATCTCGAAGGCATCCTCACGGTGAGGCATGGTGGAAGAGGACTGGATTACAAAAAAAGAAGGTAAGGAGAGTGGTGAAATGCCAGCGAATGACTTACATGGTGTTTGACGATCTGTGGCGCTGGAGTGAGAACGCGCGACATTTATGTCCATAATCTCAGCGCCTCCTGCAGATGTCAGGTGCCACACCCATTCCCCTTACAGTAACCTACACCTCAAGTTGAAAGTTCTTTAGTAATTGCTTTTGCCAATGGGCGGCGTCGTTCTCGGCTAGTTCACCGCGAGGCTGCGACCCAGATCGTCGCCGGTTCGCCGTGCTGCAGGAGAGTAGCCCAATATCCCTGTCGTTAGATGTCATATGCAGACGAGAACCGCGCTTGTGGTCATCGAGATGGATGGGAATCCCCACTCCTCGTCTCATGAGATTTTGTTCTGTTGGAGGTACCTGTACCTGGTTTGGTGTTGGACATTAGCCGCAATCCTTGGCAAGGCTGCTGGCCTCGTTGTACTCCGTACCATTCCCATGGTGTGTGGGATGTGCGGACTTCCCGGAGCTGCAGCTGAAAGCGATCCAAGAATAGGAACGGCATTGGACGCTTTCTACTCCTTCACGAGGATAACAAACGTTGATACTTCGAGAGCCATAGTACCAAGTCACGAGAGTTATATACCTATACGCATCAATGTCTGAGGACTCTGTTTCTTTGCTGTTGCTCCCTCAGTTGCGTAAAGCTATTAAGCACTCGTTGAAAAGGTTATGATACCCTTGTCGAGCTACCTTTATTGCCCTGACGGAGAAGTACCTTGATTTGTTGTGCGCTCCAATGAGCTATTGACGCCACAAGGCCCCCATCTCTTGCCACCCCAACCTCCTCCACGGGGTATACATCAAATGGATTAAGATGGGCAGGGCTGCTATTGGTATAGTGAGGAATTGCTTTTTGGGCCCAGTACCACTGCGGCTGACGCGCGATGCGACCTAGGTTCAGCAACCCGCATCAAGCGTCTAGAAATTGGACATGCGAATCAACAGGCAACAAGTAACTCAATCGGTGATTTGACTCAACCAAGTCATCTCTACAGACTACCCAAGGTAGGGGTGGGGCAGTAGCGCCATCATTTCGGTGTGTATAACAGGAACTACAGTGTATTGTTGATGGCCAAACTCGCCAGCTCAGAGGGGACGGCCGACTTAGGAAAGGTGAGGTTGCCTTGTTCGCCTACATCCCGTACACAGAACCTCCATGAGTTCACAACATGCCGAATATCCGTCCTTCCGTTCCCAGGGCGCTTCTTTCGACCGGTCATACTCGGCGCGCCGGAGAAGTCGTTGATCGAGTCTAGACAAACAAGCAGCACGATGTCTTACTGGCCCAGCTATTAAATCTACTTCGACGGTGAATGACGTCGTCTAGACATCTGCCTGAAAGTCGCGCATCACTATTGAGCGGCGAAAAGACTCATGTAGATACCCCAGCCAACACCGGCCAGACTGCCGATGAGGTTTCTGCCTTCGACGCTCTTGACAAAGGCAAAGTTGACCAGACTCACAAAGGGCCATAACCTCAACCCCGCCGACATGATGCTGAAGAACTCCGCGTGGGACTTCGCGACGATCGAAGTCCAGTCAACCCTGCTGTAGTCAATAGACTTGCCCGAGAGCAAGTATGCGACGCTCCCTTCCGGGCCAGCCAAGTGCTCGGGTCGGCCCGACATTGCTTCTTTGATGGAGTGGATGAACATGGAGAACGCGAAAGTATTGACAGCGGCGCCAATGGACTGGTCCAGGACGAACTTGATCAGAGTGTTCTTGATGTTTAACTTGGGCTCGACTAGACGTCCCTCCTTTGCCTCCCTATCAAGCTCCTTCTCGTCGCCCTTGGCGGCCGAGGCGAGGGCCTCATTGGTAGGGCTGACATGAGTCGCCGGAAAGCTCGATTCAAGGAAATCTTGCCTGTATCCTGTCAGTGCTGCCTAAATCACAGAAGCGTGGAATTCATCGCCACGTCCTTGATACTTCAGAAGACGCAACTGCCGAGGCTTCCTCGTAACTTTCAAGATCCTTACCATAAAAAGTTTGGCGGTGTGATGATAATCGTGAAGAGAAAGAATTGTAACACCGGCACCCAATCTATGACAAATGCAGCCTGGACCAGATCTGTTAGCAATGGAAGGGAGATGGGATGCCGCATGAGCTCCCGATCGAAGCGCAACTGAATGTCTGGAGAGGAAGACGGGTACAACCTACTTCTTGCCTGTATGCCGTGATAGCTTGAGCGAGAATATTCGATGTAGCACTTAGAACGGCTGACTGCACCGTCGCCGAGACAATTGGAGGCAATGCCATATTCTCTTCTGAACTCTTTGCAAAGCCTTGATATAATGTTGACTGAATGAAGGCAAGTAACTGCCGAAGTTGGTGTTTTACAAGAGAAGACGTGGCCTTGGCAATGTCTTAGGCGAGCGGACTATCGCACGTCTGGCTGGTGACGTCAAGCGAGTCTTTGAACACGGTCTTTTGAAGGCAAATCAACAGCATTAAAGTGCTGCGACGGCTTGCCTAAATATCCAGAATAATAGAAGGTGAAGATGACACCTGTTTGATTGATGGTTTGATAGGAGGATGCTGGTAGGAGCGGGTCAGGCAGGCCGCCGACGTTCGGGCTTTTCTGGCTTAGGGCATCTTTGGTGGTTGGTGAGCCTTTCCCGATTGCTTAACAAACCTTTGACTTAGAAACGAGACTCAAGCACTTCAAAATGGCTCTCAACCAACCATCCTGTCACAACCCCCCAAGCATCTGGCCAGAATCGCCATTAGGTCGTTATGCTACGATGAGATACAACCCGACATAGATCTCACCGTGAAGTTGCTCCCAATATAAGCGGGCGTAATAGAGTACATTGGCGTTTTCTTTTTCCTAATTGTAAATGGTAATATACATGGTTCATTGTGATCGATGAGTTTCACTATCATTAGTTCGTTTTTGTACAGGTTCCTCTAATGCTATCATGGTTCCCCGTATGCGTCCGTCCTTTTTGCATTCCAATTTCCAGCCGTGCGTGCACTGATGGCCCACGAGCCTCCTGCAGGTGATTATGCCCTAGTCAATATCCACATGAAAAGGAGTTGGATAACGTAAGAGTAGAAGAACAGGAACTGCGTGCGTTGGCTGCGCTTCGTCCTTGTGTCCGTCTGCATGCTTCCCCCACTGGCGCCATTGGTCTCAGGAAGTAGGACGTACTTCAGAGAGCGCATCTAAATCAAAGTCAGCTTAACTCAAGCCAAGAGGATTGTGGAGTTGACGTACCAGGAACAACGAGTTCGCCAAGAAAGTGTAGATGAACACCGACCAGCCTACCCAGCCACCAGTGCCCTTTCCGGCATTTACAATCTCCGCTACGGCGATCGTGACGATAACGCCGACAAACTTGTAGCCGGAGTATGCAACTAGATCCAAGAGCTGCGACGTGTTCGAGATGCTGAGAAGATAGCAGCCAAGGTATAGGATCAGAAGCTCAATGATAACCACCACCAGCGCGGTTGTCGCTGTGTACCCTAGCAGCTCTGGCTGAAATTGACCACGGAGACCCGCAATCAGGGTGGACAGGAGGATGTAGGTAACGAGCGACATGACGGGTATGTACATGTCTGGGCTGTTGATGTCGTCTCTCGGCGGAAGATACCACCCTTCTTGTCCATTGGGCCCAACAGCTTGCTTGCGCGACCATGGCTTATGGCGCCAGGGGAACAAGACGAGGAAGAGTTTGTTTATGACGTAGTAATTCGTGACATTGAAGTAGTGCTTGAGTGCGGACACGTTGACATATCGATTCACCTGGGCAATCTGTTAGCTGGAGCGAAGCTGTATCGAAACTGGCTGGTTCGTACATTTTGCTCGATGTATTCCTGTCCTTGCTTGAATGCGGTCTGCGAAAAATGCGCCGCGACTTGCGCGGCTGGGTCGTTCATGAAGTTGCCATATTGTCCAAACATATTCCCTGCTGGCATACCACCGGCCTGCTGCTGCTGATATGGGCTGCCATAGTTCTGGGATTGCGGCTGGGATCCCACAGGAGGCGGAGGGGATCGCAGTTGAGGGACGGTAGAAACGTGTTGCGGGACGGGATGGTGAAGCGGCGGAGACTGGCCGTAACTTGAGCGCTGCATCGTGAAGGTCGGAAAGAAGAGAAAGGCGCCGAGAGTTGTAGATTGAGCACAATCACAATGTCATGCCAAAGAGTAGTAATAATAAAGGAAGGAGTCCAGGGGTGCAAGCTAGAGAGAAGGTGGCTGTCCCCAGGCAACAAGAGATCGCGGTGTCTTTGACATGTGTCTTGAATAGAAGCTGTGCACTGCACTACCTAAGCGGCGACTCCTGATGCTGTCATTTTGGCCTGTTAGCGCGGATAATTGGTGCTTCCGGCGCCTATCAGTGCACCAAAGATGGCCTTATCGGAGAAGCCACCACACCTTCGGCGCCACCGAATTGCGTAGGACCTGCCAGACAGGCCCAGATCTCTCTCACCATCCTACCACCAGCACTTCTCTCGTCGCCTTCCTCTCCTCTCCTCTGCCCAACAGAATAACCCGATTGTGCTTAGAACTCGATGTGCTGAGCTTGCAATCGCCATGTTGGACACCTTCGAAATTCTCACCACCTCCGGTGTGGTGCTGTGGTCGCGCACCTATGCGCCAGTCAATCCATCCATCATCAATAATTTCATAGCGGATGTGTTCATCGAGGAGAAGAGCTCTACGGGAGGGATTAAGGAGACCAACTCAGCAGCGACCAACCCACCCTATAAGACCGAGCAGCATACTCTCAGGTATACCTTCGTCAAGGAGCTGGGCATAATATTCGTTGTATGGCTTTACCCCTACGATGTCTGTATAGTACGATGGAGATGCTAACTCGGACCTACAAGGCTGTCTACCGATCACTGCTTCACCTATCCTGGATCGATAAGCTGGTAGATAACATCAAGACGATCTATGTCAATCTGTACGGCGACCAGCTCACGAAGCCGAATACCACAATCGTCGAGTGCAATGGCTTCGACGAGTACTTCGACCAGCAGCTACAAGAGCTAGAGAAATCCAGTAGCAAGGGGGATGCCAAAGCTGGCGGTGCCCCATTCACCGTGCAGGATGAGAAAGCCTCCGGCAACTTCGGCGATGAACCGCCCTCCGGTCTACAATACAGAGGTCATAAGGAGGACAAGTCGGCCGACTCCACACCCATCGTATCTCCGACGACATCCCGGCCGTCCACCCCGGGAGGTGGCCACCTCGTCACAGCCAAGGGCGGACCGATCGCAAAGATTTCGCGAAGAGCGAGGAAGGCGCAGCACAATAATTCGGCACCGGCATCATCGGGCGACGAGTCAATAGGCAGGCGGGCGAAGAGCTCCAAGGCTGCGAAGAAGGGTCGCAAGTGGGATGCGGATGGTTTCGCTGACGAGGAGGATGACGTCCAGCTTGATTACTCGGCCGCGAATGCTATTACCAGCGATAGTGAAGCTGAGGCACTTGGTCGATCGACAGCCCTTGAGGAAGTTGACGCATCAACATGGGGTTCAAAGACCAAGGGCAAATTCGTCCTGAAGGACTTGGGCGATGAGGTGCACTCGATTTTGGCGGAAGCAGAGGCTAAGAACGCTTCCTCGAAGCCAGACTCCGCAGGCGGATTACTTGGCTCGTCGCTTAGCACGATTGGCGGACTGTTCCGGAATGTTGTCGGTGGAAAGACGTTGACGAAGGAAGAGCTCGATAAAGCCATGAAGGGCATGGAGGACCATCTTCTACGGAAGAATGTTGCGAGAGAAGCCGCTGTGCGGCTGTGTGAAGGTGTTGAGAAGGAGCTTATTGGCGTGAAGACTGGTAACTTTGAGAGCATCAACACCAGGATACAGAGCGCCATGGAGGCGTCGCTCACAAAGATGCTCACCCCAACCTCCTCCCTCGATCTTCTTCGTGAGATCGACTCAATTACCGCACCATCTGCGACTTCACTGCGCAAGGCACGTCCGTACGTCATCTCTATCGTCGGTGTCAACGGCGTCGGCAAGTCGACAAATCTGTCCAAGATCTGCTTCTTCTTGCTGCAGAACAAGTACAAAGTGCTCATTGCCGCCGGAGATACTTTCAGGTCGGGAGCTGTTGAGCAGCTTGCTGTGCACGTCCGCAACCTGAAAGAATTGACGGTGCGAGAGGGTGGCAAGGTCGAGCTATACCAGAAGGGCTACGGCAAGGACGCCGCCACCGTTGCCAAAGACGCCGTGACCTTCGCGGCTCAGGAGGGATACGATGTCGTGCTCATCGACACGGCTGGGAGACGACACAATGACCAGCGTCTCATGTCGTCTCTGGAGAAGTTCGCCAAGTTCGCAAACCCCGACAAGATCCTCATGGTTGGCGAGGTGAGTAGCCCCCCTTTTTGCCTTCACCTTACATTCTTCATCATGTCTAACACTATATTCCTACAGGCTCTGGTGGGCACAGACTCCGTCGCTCAAGCTCGGAACTTCAACGAAGCGTTTGGGGCAACGCGCTCCCTGGACGGGTTTATCATCTCCAAGTGCGATACCGTCGGCGACATGGTCGGCACGCTGGTCAGTCTGGTCCACGCGACGAACGTGCCCGTTCTGTTTGTGGGAGTTGGACAGCACTATTCGGATCTCCGCAACTTCTCGGTGAAGTGGGCGGTCGAGAAGCTCCTCAGTAATAATTAATGACAAAGCGTCTTATGAGTCCGAATCATATCTCTTGACTCTCTTGCTTCAATTCCATGTGATATGTCAAGGAGTAACTTTGCGTAGTCATGTCTAGCCTTCTACAATAACGACTCCTAAGCATTAGGTTTCCAGGCAAAAGTCGAAACGAACACATGTAATTCGCTGCCCCTAAAAGGACGAACATATAAGGAGTAGTAGCGGCAGTCTCATTAAAGGTAGCTAGGAGGTAGGTGCAGCCAGCGATCCCGTAAATCCCAACCCGACATTCCAGAGCATTTCTTATATCACCAAATGCAAATTAAGACCTAGGAGTATGGTAGCCATATATGTTATCATCTCAACGCGTAAGATCGTGGTGCGATTCTCTATCATCAGCGGAGCAGAACTCTACACCCATTCATCACAAAGTCCATCCCGTCTTATCCATCCCATCCCAAGCCACCAACACTCGTCAACTCCTCTCTTAGATTGCTTCATCCCCAGAAGCCTCAATCATCATTCCTTGAACAGTAAATTAACTGTTCTGTGCCGCTGCCCGCTACTCTCTCGACTCCTACCCAGTTCCTTCATTAACAGCAAAAAACAGCCAGATCAAAATTCCAAACTGGGGTATCCACCAGTCTAAAAAGCCCAAAAAACAACAACACCACTGCGTCTGTCTCTCTTCTCTTAACAACGCTCGCAGACAATAACGATGGATGTGAAAACAGTAACAGTTGATAGAAAGCAAGAAACCACCAGTGCCCGTTGTATCTTTCCCATTCTTACGCGCCGCCGCGGTATATATAGGTGAAACGGCGAGGAAGCCCGGAGGGGTAGAGTGAGAATTACGCCTGGCCATGTCCATTTGTGCATATCGCAAGCAAGTGTTTGTCGTAGCAGTGTTACCGCCCAAGCCTTAGTCTCTAACCCGTTTCGCAAAGAATATCCGTCCATAACATTCGTCTCCATCTTGCGCGCATATCAAGTTGAACCCAGAAAGATTCGGATTATTCCCAGCGAACCGATGAAGAGGACTCATTCACCACCAGCGAAGGCCAAGCTGACCTGCTCGCGGCGAGTTAGCGGGTCTGCGATGTATTCGAAACGACCGGGATGGAGTGGGCATATTGGCACGACAGCAAATGACCAAGCAATACCTCCTTGAAGGGAGTACCAGTGGACAAGGACGCCATTTCAAGTCTAGCCCTCCGAGTTCGAAATCAAATCGTGAGTGAAGTCCTGCCTAAATCGGCAGACCGCCGCATCCGAAGAGAAAGCCAGAAGTGCCTCCAAGTATATATATGTGCAGGCTCAACAGCCCACTGTATAATCTGCAATTTGGTATCAAAAAAAAGTGGTGTATCAACAGCGACATAGCAAATTAGAAACCAAGATCAAAACGCCGATGTGCCGAGTCCGTGGATATACGGACGTGGTGATATAGACCTTATCTTACTTGGCCTGAGTAAGCGAGGATATGTGCTCCTAACAGCTAAGCCATTCATTTATCTTCATGCGACAAATATGCTGGCTTGGTGGCCGAAGTACACCCAATCTGCGAATTCTCAAAGAAGCATCCCGAAGACGCTCGAAAGTTCGACTTGTTGAGGAAATTAGAATCCTCTAATCCTAAGCGATGCATATGAGCATGAAGGAAAACGAGTGGTGCCAGGCAGTTGAGAATGAGCTCTCAGAGACTCATTGTCAACCACTCCCACTCTTGAGGTCCAGCTCCAGTGCCACCGGGGTTCATCGTCAAACCGGGTTGTCCACCCGGCATCGCGCCCATCATACCTGGTCCGACCATTGGTCTTTGGGTCATTCCAAAGCCGTTGGCCAGTCCAAGGTTTGCTGGATTGGGCATTCCAGCAAACCCATTGTTCGAGCCGAGTGATCGGGCGGCCTCGTTCGAACCAGTGGAGTTCTCGGGGCTGTCGATGTCCATGCCTCCTATGGAGTCGCTGGCGCTCTTACTATGCCGGCGCTGACGTTTTGACGCCATAGCAATCGTTCTCGGCATAGCAGCGGCGCCGGGACCAGGGGCTGTCTTTGGGGGAGCGGCTGCAATTGGGACAACGCCCTTTCCACCCACGACACCGGAGGACGAACCTGCACTGCCGTGGTAGCTGGTCGGCGTGCTTCCAGCAGTGTTTCCGCCAGAAGCCGGTCCACTAGCAGGGCTCGCGCTGTCCAGCACACTGCCATCACGAGTAGCAGACGGCGGTGTAGCTGCCTGCACTGGAGCAGGAGTTGCCGAGAGAGCTAACGTCGAGTTCTTGCGGGTGCTTGTTCCAGAAGCATTGTTGGAGGCAGAATTCTTCTTTCCGGATCTTGTGCTCGTCCCGCTAACCGGCAAGGTAGCACCAGAGCCCCGATTTCGCTTCTTGATGACATCCGTCTTCAAACTAAGCGGCCGCACAACGCCGTGTAGCTTGAGGAATAGACCACAAGCATTGCAAAGCGGTTGTCCCTCCGGATTACGCCGCCACAACGGGGTTGTTTGTGTGAAACAGTTTGTACATGTTGTTGGTGCGTTTCCATCGCCTGAGTTACCGGCAGCTTGCAAGTTGGTTGATGAACCAGGCTTTGAACCGGGAGGAGAAGATGGTCGGCTAGGGGTGACAGACGAGAAGCCCGAAGCATGAGCTCCGTCTCCCTGCGGAGAGTTCGGGTTTGAGTGACCGAATGGTCCACGATTGACGGCTGGTGTTGACGCTGTCCTTGGGATTTTCTGTCGCCTATCCCCGCCTTGACGGAAGGACTGCGACTGCGACCTGCCGAGACTACCGGTTTCCCATTCGCCATTTGCATCGACATAATCTGTTGTAGTGCCACCAATAGTCACCTGTTTCCGTGGTGGTCCGCCAGGATACCTTGCAGCTTGAGTGCTGAACTGACCTGGCAGAGATGCATCCCACTGCAAAGCGCTGGAAGACACGGGCATGCCCGATTCGTCTAACTCGGAAGGCGAGAACTCGTGTGCTGCCATCATCAAGTTGCGGTCGGCAAAGGCGCCGCCCTCTTCATCGCCCTCGTCCGAGTCGGCACCGAATGTGAACATCCCATTCTCCATCATGCCGACGCCAGGCGACCGGACTGGATGTTCTGATTGAAAGACTTGAGTGGGGTCGATGTGACCGAATGAACTGGGAGTAAAGGCGGAGGAGGGATCACCGCCAGCAGTGGTGGTGGGGAACATGGAGTTGGGCGTCGGCGCATTGTACATGAACTGGTTCCCCATGGCGTGTCCGATTGAACCAGAGCGGAAGCCCTGTTGTCTTTGAGTCCGCGCATCCATGGAGCCAAAGTAGAAGTTCTCGCCGTCATTCATAGGATGAGGCGTAGAGACGGCGGACTGGTAGGCAGAGCCCGGGGGCGAGTAGTAATCGGCGGGCGCTACTGCCGATGAGGGGACGGAGTTGCTATTATACAGGCTGGAGGAGAAAGGGCCATGAGGGACCATGGGAGAAGTGGATGGAGAGAAGGAGAAGTTCTGCTGGAAGGGCCCTGCAGAGGTAATGATGGGATCATTCTCCATGTGGAAGGTATCCAATGGGAAAGGAATGCCTGCATGGTTAGGAGGGTGGGCCATGTTGCCGTTGTGTGCCTGGTCCAGAGAGTATTCATGGAGATCAGCATCGGCATCCAGCTCGTTCGTGAGGGAACTGCTGTTCACTGCGGGAACATGAGGCGAAAAGTCCGCAGGACGTTTGCGAGTCTAGGAAAATGGCGGGTGGTCAGTCATATTTCATTATCAGCGGCGCGAGAAGAGGAGGAAAGAGGGACAGAGATAAGTGGCAAGACGGCAAGCACGCAGGCTTATATAGTCTCATAGATAAGGCCATTGGCATCCAGAATAGGCTTAAACTTACACGTCGCTCGTCAATACTAGTTTTCCTGTGATGTCTAGTCACATAGCCGAACTCATCTTGATTCCGCTGGTGATGCGGCGGCACTGGCACGGATTGGGGAACAAAGTGTTGTGAGCCTTCCTTGCGGGATTTGATGGGGATGGCGGTCGCCTGTGAGTGAGACCCGCGCTCCGCATCATGCTTGGTGGCTTCCGGCGACGGCGTGGCCACGAAGCCCGCCGGGGTAGCAACATTCTCGGCGACTATGAAGTCGTCGAGATTCATGGGCTCTGGCTGTGAGAGGCTCTGCTCAGAAGTTTTGCGCAATTGTGCGATTCCACTGGGGGCATTGAGAGTAGAAGTAGGATGGGTGTTGGTGGTGGTGTTGCTCCCGCCGCCGCCAGTGTTGGAGGTGGTAGCGGTAGCGGTAGCGGTAGCAGTAGCATCAGCACCACCATTACTACCAAAAGTAGCCCCGGTGGTGGTGCGACCGAGCCTTGGGGAACCGAGTTAGTACGGCGCAACAATGGGATGATTTCATAGCAAAAAACGTCAATCCTACCTGGCCTCTTCGGTTTGCGCCCGTTTTCGCATGTTCAGGTGCATCATGCGCCATGTTAGGTTCTCCATGCGCTCTTGGTTTGGCAGCATCTGCTTTGTCTTGCTGAAGAACCGCCATACCTGGGTCGCGAGCGGATCCTGTCGCTGCAGCTCCTCCGGGCTGTCGCTCATGCCTGCCATGCCGTCATGAAACGTCGGAAACGAATCTGTCTTGAAGAGACTGTTCTGCGCCGAGTGATATGTCGAGTCAAGATCCCACCGGAACTCTTGCAGGCTTGCGCTCAAGTCGCCTGCACCGCTGTCGCCGCTGATCGAGGTCGTGGTGCCGTCTTGCTCTGGTTTGAGGGGCCCGCCATCGGCGGATTCGTCCACGTCCATGGGCCGCCGGGGGAATCGGTAATCGTGCTCTGTGGTTGTGGGATTCATAGACCTCGACGGACTCGACGTCTGGATCGGTGTCGCTGCACTGGTCGCCATTGTGGTACAGGCGGGTTTCTTGCGCTGTCTTCCTACTCGATGGTCGCGAGGAAATTCGGGGGAATTACGAGAGCTGTAATTTTCCCCACGTTCCGTTGGCCGCACAGGCTCGGTGCTCTCAACGCACAAGCCGAGCAGCACGTCCAGTCGCTAGGAATTAACGTTAGACGCTGTGGCCAACAGCGACAGCGAGCTTTGTGGGATAAAAGAGGAAGAGGAGGAGAAGGAGGAAGAGAGAAGCAGCACTCGTGTGAGGGGTGCTCTGGAGACACTGGATTTGCTTTTACTCGATCGATACTCCTCATCAAGCGGGATGTAGCTGCTGGCTGGCTGGGCTGGTGTGTGTTCCCAGGATTGGATTCGTGTTGGATCCAAGTTGCGAGTGTCGGATGCTCAAGGTCACTGGCATTGGTCCTGGCCACCGGTGGCCACTCTCCCACTACAACTCTACACTTCATACTGGGACACTACACCACACTACACTACTCGTGCTGGATCCTGGGCCCTGGGTACAGGGTACCACTGACTCCCGACGGTGGTGGCAGGCTGTCGCTCGGTTCTACTCTACACTAGCTAGACCAGACTGCTGTGTACTGCATAGTATGTGTGGGCGGAGGTGGTCGTGGTGGTGGAGGCAGCAGAAAGGTCTGAGGGTGGTGCGTGCAGGCCACTCGCAGCAACTTCCGGCTTGCCTGCAGGTCAAACGCTACGCTACCCTGCGCTACGCTACTCGTACTCTCGCAGGCCATGAACCTAACCTAACCAAGCTCAGCTTAGGGGAGAGGCAAGCGGGCGGCCACTGCTGCAGAATGAGAGAATGAGAGGAGCCCACAGAGCCCGCAGAGCCCGCAGTGCCCGCCCTCGACACCCGGTCCTGAGATGGGCCCTCGTTCATGTTCACGCTACCTGGGGGTAAGCCTGGTGGTGCAGCACGAGCGGCGCAAGACAAGCTGTACCATCGACCGTGGTCGCGGTGACCCTGTCCGGCCTAACGTGCTGTGGGCGCGGCCTGCCGACCAATCCTGCCACTCTCAATCCACCGGTGGAAGCAGGAGGGTGGATCTACAGCGAAATTATTATTAGCGGCGGTGGGGGAGAGGGAACGGCCTTCTAGGTGTGTGGCTGTCGAAGGTCTCACCCTTCGCCCTCGAAAAAAACCCTCCCTCTACTGCTGGCATCGCAGCTTCATTTGCGTAGAGCAGACATACTCTACTCTATACTATGGTCTAGCCTCTAGCGCAGGCTACTCTCTTGTTAGTGAGACGGGGATGGGGCTGCCCTGGTCTATTTGGAGGCTATTCGGAATAATGGTCGCTGAACCATCCACTCCCGCGCATTTCATCTGGCTTAGACGGCCGTTTTGCTCCTCGGTCGTCGAGGAAACCATGCTTCTCAAAAAGCGGGCGGGAGGGACCTCGTTATGCCCTGGGCTGACGACATAGCTTCACGGTTCTGCCATTGTGAGGGGGGTTGGACGTTATATCAAAGCGTAGATAGACCAGCCGATCTTGATAGAAGTCACGCTACTATGGGGAGATTCCGCGGCCGTAATCCCGTCATATTCTACATCTGCACATAGGCAGAATTCTGGACAGGTGGGAGTAGGAGAGCGATGTGCAGGCGGACGGGATGGAAGAAGGAAGCCAACGCAGGTGAAGGTGGGAATGATGGCGAGACTGGGAAGATTTGGAACACTGCACAATGCTGCACGAGCACTGCGGCAGGGTCGAATTGCGAAGGGGGTAAAGCGTGGGGAGCCCCAAAGTACGGAGAAAGTAGTCGGTACATGTGGCTCGAGGCCTGTCCTCGCTTGCCCTGCACGAAAGTCAGAACCCAGAACGCAGGAATTGGAATGGAACGACAGACCCCTCAATCGCCCGCCCTCCATCATCCCCAAGTGTGGCCGGTTTTCGGCAGGGATTGCATACGGGACTTAAACACTTGAGTCGAGGTCGGCCAGCCTTCTACCAAGACGCGTCGTTGGTTGGTCGCTGTGTGGCTGCTTCAACTTCCCTGGTGCGTGTGGGCCCAAGAGTCTAAGGCACTTCTAGCTCGATCCCCAGCTGTGGTCTTCTTCCGCCCGCCGTTCGCTGCATGCTCTTTAAGAGATGCTTATGGTGCTTCATCGGTCGAACCCGTTCACGGAGATGCTGGAGGGCTCCATCACGGTGGATCTATCGTTGACGCGGAGGCGAAGTCTCCAAGGAGAAGCAGACATTTTCCTTGCTCTGTGTATGCATCCCGAGGACTCAGCAGGGTCGAGCTTCGCTCAATTACGGGTCACCGAGGATAGCGACTCATGTCTCCGTTCGGCCTCGATGGCCATCTCCAACACCACTACCCAACAAGTCCCAGCATTTGGGTGGTGCCGCGGTTGGCTCGCCCATGTTTGCCTCACGGACCACCTCGGAAATACCCAAGTGGGCACCCAATAGCACTAGGGTGGACGGCAATAGGTCTTGATGTCCACCGTCAGGGAGCGGTCGCAATGCCAGAAAGGACCCTTAAAGCGCTGACTTACACGCGACAGGGAGAGGGGCACGCGGCTGGGTGCTGCTCAAGCTTGGATTCCCTGGCTTCTCTGGGGGTTATGACGGGATGCTGGACGAATCTGTCAAGACCTGAAGCAGATCGACATTGCCCCGTGCAGTTACTCTATAGCACTGTTGGCGCATGAAACAAACAGTGACCTCGTTCGCATTGTCGATATCGGGAATGTCCAAAAAGGAACATTTTGCTTCTGTGTGGCGGTTCTTCCAAACAAATACATAGCTAGCCATGCAGTTACTTGCTCATGCCGCCCTCCTTAGATCGGAGGCAAGGCTAAGGCCATCGCAAGTCAAGTTACGCAGAGCCGGGGAGAACGGGAGGGATCGCACCTGGATTTTGACCAACCATATCTCCTCTGAATACCAATTTGGTACATCTAGAACGAGCCTCATTGGCTCTCCACCCGGCGAAGAGGGTCGCCAAAGGATTCCCTGTAGCCGGGCCGCGACGTGGAGTTTTTGCCTCGGCGCCGTGGAGCGTGTAAGTAAGATAGATCCAGTGCTAATACGGCTTGTGATAGACTCGTGGTCGAGTGATCTGGCGTTTGCCTCTTCACTTACTGGTAAGGGTAGAGGGCGGGCAACCTCGCCAAGGTACTGACTTGGCTGTGTACGACATCCAACGGCACATCCCACGCTTTCGTGGGGACGGCAAAACGCCTGGTAATTCCCATTCATCCGTGACGCTCGGGTACAATATGTGCGGCAGAACCACAAATTAATCGTCGCGGATGCGAGTTACAAGATGAACTTCATCCAGACTAAGTCTACGTACGCGCGGTCTTTGGATTTTCGAACCTACCCTTTACATCGTTACTACCCACTCAGGATCTATCTAGATGAGTGAGAGGCAGGTTGTTTCCTGGGTCGGTGAAGAGTCACCGTGATTTCGAGAACGGGAGGAGCCTCGCAATATACCTACCTAGATCAGCCTCAGCTTGGTAGCCCAAACTCACGAGACGACAGTGAAATGCAATAGAATAAAATGGCAAGCCACGATGCGTACGTACGTCGACAACACGAGATACCTACCAACCAGTTTGCGTTTTAGAATCGGGTCTCGCCTTCCGTCATTGCAGCAACGGGCATGCAAATGCAAGCCATCTCATTTCTCACAGAGGAAAGAACAAGTGGGTAGCCGTACTTACTTGGTTGGAAAGAAGGAAATGGCATCCCATCCCACTTTTCTCAATTGCTCTGGTTTTCGCACTTGACTTGTATGAGGCAACAGCACACCCTGTTCTGACCTGCGACCCTGCACGGGCGTCGCTCCTATTTTGAGACCATAATCTTCCAATGCAACGCCTCTACGGAGCATTGCTATGTGTCGTTTAGAGTATATTCCGACCTCCCTTGGCCCTATGAAGCTATACAATTGCAGGACCGGGTTAGTAGCACTTGCACCTTACAGTTAATTCTACGGCACTCCTGGGCCATTGATGAGGCGCCAAATTAAACACCACCCCAACAACAACCGGTACCGTGGCTGATGAATCGCTCTCCTCTTCCCAAATCCAATCTTCCCACGCGTCGCCCTTGCAGGAGTCCCGTCTGCCAATGTTTGACTGTGGATTCTTTCGGTCCTTCATGTCCCTGTCGCTTGTTAAGAATGACGATGATCACGGTGATGGGCAGCGACGGCGGGGTCTTAGTTCGATCGCTACCCTCGACTACATGGCACTCGCTGCGCGCTGACGACTCTCTGTGCGAAGATCGCTCTCCACCACCTAGCGGACCCTTTGCAGTAACGAACGGCGGCTCTCGTCTTTCTACAGAAATGTGACCGTCCAGTCCAATCTCACCGTCGTCGGGGTGAGATGGCTGCCGTCCTGCCTCACCTATTACGACATGGATACCCGCGAATAGTAGAAGAAAGGCATTTCCATTAGCAGAGCAAATGAGGTTAACAGGCCGTGAGATATTGGGGGTCCCAGTATATATTGGCCTGCAGCTCCAGACCTACAGTGTCCAGACGGCTGTACTGCATAGAATGTGAGGGGGTATAAGCGCAACATAGCAGCGGGGGCCCTTCGACCAGGATCGCGAACGGCGTAGCGAACAAGTACCCGTTACACACATGGCCAGGGTCACTGCATGCATACATCCATGCATTGTGCTGACCCCCACGAGGGCACATGAAAAGAGAGACACACGCATCAAGTGTCTCGATGCACCCTCTCAAGCCAACCGCTCCCGCGCTTCTCGTCTCTCAATAAAGCAAATCCTGCTTCACCACCCTTCAGTCTCGTCGCAGGATCCGTCTGCGCATCAAATGCACAAGGGGACACATCGAGCGTCGATTGATGCACTACCTCTAGCCACCCTAAATCATATAGTGGAACTATTCCGGGC